CAACTGATCTGCCTCGCCCGGGAAGAGCGCAATGATGGTGCCAGCTTGGGCCAGTGAAGCAACGTCCTCCACAACTAGACTGAAGAACAAAAGCATAGCAACTTGTCTGTTCCCCTTCCCCCAATTCCTCAGCACTGTTCCCATCCCCCAATTCCCCCAATAAAAATCTTAAAAAAAAAGTGAAGAAAAAAATATATTAAAAGTCATCTCCCTTTATTAGCAACTAAACATGGTTAAATTGGGAGAATTTTAGAAGATCCAGGAAGTCTAAAGAAAATTTCTAATTACTATACATGAAAGTAAGATTATGGAGAAAATTTAAGATAATTTGATTAAGACATAATAACTTGTTAGTTTGATTCTAATTTTTTAAAATAGGATTTACAAAATGCATCAGGAGATCTAAGATGGCAGAATCGATAAATGCTGAGGTTGCTTCATCCTGTGAACACATCAAAATTACAACTAAATTATAGAACAATAAACCTGGAGAACCATCTGAAGTCTACCTGAGCTATAAAGAAGACGCCACGTTGAGACTAGTAGGAAGGATGGAGACGGGAACTGAGCTTGTCCCATGCCTACATGTGGTGGTTGAAAACTGGGAGAAATACCTTGGCCACAGAGGTTCCCCGCAAAGGAGCAAGGGACCCCAGTCCCCCATACCAGGCTTCCCAGCCTGGAGTACGGGTACCTGGTAGAGTAGCTCCCACAACTTCTGGTTGTGAAAAACAGTGGGAATCCAGCCACCCAGGTGGGATGGAAGACTGGGAAACCCAGACATCCTCTTAAAGGGCCCACACAAGCACTCACCCTGGGCTCCAGTGGAAGGACGGTGACTCAGGGCATCGGAGACAAATGGGGAAAGACTGAGTTGTGTAACTTCAGGGTAGGACTGGAGGAACAGTCCCCATTTTCCCTGTGTGGGGCCTTTCTCCTTTGCAGCCAGCAGGCGGACGCCATCTTTCCTGTGTCGAGCCCGCCCCCTCTGGCTAAATCTGAATCTGATTGGTATGGTAAGCTCCACTGCTCCACTTGCTGACTCACTGAGACATTTCCTCACACAACTCACGTGCCACAGAAGCTTTATGAGCACCTGAGCCTTATGGGAGTCACAGGTGGCAGCAGGCCTCAGAGTGTCCTGGCTTTTTGTGGAGCTACCCCAGACCCGGTACTGCTGGTAGCCATTCTTAGTTCACAGCTCTCCCACGAAACTCTAGATCCAGCACAGGCAGCGTCCAACCATGGGTCACTTTGTAGCTCCTACCAGGTACTCCCAGGCTGTCACAGGCAGTGACTGACCTAGGCCTGCACTGGAGCCCCTCCCAAGAGGCCCCAGAGTAAACATACTTGGAGATTGGCTTCAGACCACAAACAATTAGCCCCACGAACAGCACACACAAAG